ATGGCCGCCATCTTCCATACCGCTACGCGGTCGTTGGCGAACCAAGGCCCAGCGATAGCGATGCAGAGTCTACCGAGAGTGAGATGGAAGGGTGCGGTGGATGGGCAGATGGACGGAAGGGTTTCTGCAAATGGACCGATGCTCCTGGGACCGTACCTGTTGAGGTACTGGTGGCGGGACCGTACCTGTGTAGGAGACACAGACGGAGCACTCTTGGTGGGCACCGATGGTTTCATCCGAATTCGAGAGTTAGTGCAGGTTTCTTTGGAGCTTGTGCCAGAGGGATGAGGAACATGTTTTGATGATGTGTCAAATAACCGTCGATCTGCACCTGTTCATCCGCCCGCAGCACCTGGACCTCCTACAGCCCGCTCCACCGAGCTTCCTTTCGGTTTCATGGGATTCCTGGACCTGGGCAATCCCAGTTGTGGAACCGCCAAGATGGTCTACGTTTGTTTATGCAACATTTGAGAGCATCTACTTCGTATCATAATCTATCAACATGCCATCCAGAAAGGCTCGGACGTTCCTGATTGGAGCGTAGCTAATGAACAACAGCAATCTTTTGAGGTCCTTTGTGGGTCAACTTTGGTGGTGATGAATGAAAACCAGACCTACTATATAGAGAGTGGGGAAGTTGAAAGCGCCACAAACCCAACTGCCAACCACAGCCTGGAACCATGGATATCCTCCCAAAGACTACCTCACAAGGCCACAGGTCACATGCCCTTGAACAAACGGGGAATGGCCACTCTAAAAAGCTGAGGAAGAACCTCCCATGTGCTTTCGCCGGTCTCACCGCGTTCGCAGGTTCGGCCGGCCACGGCGCATCATGGAGGAGCGAACGGTGAACGGCACCGGAGCCAGCTACACCGCACATGAAATCACTTCAGACATGGCGGTGCGGTGCCTGTATCAAATGTGGAGACCTATACCACACTTGTGTCCAATCGCATGTCGCAAGAACCATGTCAAACACGGGCACTTCAGCTTGGCCAAGTGTCGGACAATGGTTCCTTCTTCCGGTCATATGAGTAGTCATATGAGTTTTGGAGATGTTGTTGTTTTGTCGTTGTTCATATTGTTTTTCCATATGTTACATGTATGTTACATGTTTTTTTATTTTGATGTTTCACATTATCATGTTTCACTACTCAGGCCACCCTATCCAACCCCCATGATCTTCTCCTATGCCTCACATTTGGAGGACAAAGAGAGCTTCGCCTCCGACACGCCACCGCCAGAGATGGAGGAGGAGGAGGTACAGCCGCCGGAGAGGCCTCCTCCTGAGGTCCTGGGTTGAGGCGGGGTAGGATTCGCGTACGGTACCGGGGCGCAGAGTGGCGCAGATACAGCGAGGGCCCACCACCACGAAGGAACATAATTCAATGGTTTTGTGGCAACAGAACTGGGCCGCTTCCCTGCACATGGCAATGTGCTTTTTGGGAAGGCATGGCTGGTCCGCTAATGCGTTGCATGCTGCCATGCCGTTGCACGCGTTGACAAAAATTCAGGAGTGGCCCCGCTCATGGCGCACATGTCGCAGCACTTACAGGGATGGACAGGCCTGAGGGCCTGTGGTCCCGAAAGCGTTGGCATTTACATGTATTTGCAGGAAAGGCGTTGGTCATGGCCCCAGAAGTCATGGTTTAGAGGAGTATTTACTTACAAATTACAGTTACAGGACATCGTCAGCACACTCCACACGGATGTCCACGGATGCCCACCTTCTTTAAAACATAGAGAAAAAGCTGTGCGGATTTATTTCCGGCAGAAAAATCAAAGATGCCGGGTAAGTAAAGTAGTCACATCCACATCCCAGATCCCGTGGTAAAGGGGGGAGTGGGGAGCTTGAGCTTGAGGGAATATCGCATTTATCGGCCGCCGCCACTTCTCCATGGGTGCGTCCGCCATGCGCAACTATCCACACAAATCGTTCGGGCATGTCTCCACGCACAGCTGTCACAGGCTTTCAAGGCGGTCAAATGTCACGACTAGACTAGGGGCAGGCTTTAGGCCTCCACATTGTGGTCCCTGACAGAGCTTGATACCCAAAAGCACCAAAGCACACCAATAACGGCCTCAACACTTTGGTCCCCTATAGTATCTGTGCGAGGGCTTGCTGTACTGCAGCGGTTGGGATCGGACTGTGCCAAGTAAGTGATTCTGCGGCGCCAAAAAAAGGCCGTAAAACCTTGCGAAAACAAGTTTCGGTGTGGAGGGCCCTCGTAGTATCCTAAGCGCCGCGCGGTGAGAGAAGGGACAGTGCTAGGGATGTGCAATTTTGTTTTCCAAGCAGTGCAGCCGTGCGTTGCAAAGTTTTATTCCAGCACTCACGGAAAAATGAAACCGCACAAGTGCAACCGGTTAGTTGGACCACCATGGGATCTGGTGTGATGCTTTTCTTTGCTACTTCGCAGGCTGGACCTGGCAACAGACACTGCGGCAACACCTTTTTGTCCAACGTGCAATATACGTAAAGCTGGGCCGGCGGAGACACTCACTTAGATGAATTGTTGAATCTGTGCCAAAATGTTCTTTGCAATTGTTTTTTGGCGGAAATGTGGGCAAGACTGTCACATCCCGATCAAAGTTACGTTTCCATGATTGTGCCAGAAATATTGCACATTTCATCAGTGTGCTTTCCAGTGTGGCACTGTGTCTTGTGTGTTTCAATTTGGTGCCTTTCCAGTGTGCCTAGTGTGGCAAGCCCTTTCAACTTGTAACTATCGTCAATGTGGTTTTAGTTCGGATATATTCACATTAAGCATATTTTTCTACCTCCCCCAATGCAAGTCTATGATTCCCAACGATGTAACGCGCTTGTTTTTTTGGACGACCCCAAAACAGGCGGATTTTCCGTCTTCCATCTTCGGACCATAGATGGCCTTTTCTTTATTCACTATTGGTTGATGAATGGAGGGGCTACCCCAAGTGTACAACCAATTGCTTTATGGTACCTGGGGCCGGCCCCTCTATTCTTCCCGAGGCCGGACATATTCGGACATCATGTTGTCATGTTTTTTCGGTCACCGACCGATCCAAACCCCTTCGGGTCAACCACCCCCAAACCCACGGTGACACGCACCGGTCTCCCATGCTGTCCAGGCTTTGTGGGACCAGCACCAGTTCTTCGGATTTGACCTTTGGGATCCTTTGGAGTTCGGACGTGTCGATTTTTTGGGACCTCGAGCAGAACAAAAGCAGGCCTTCAGAATGGTTTTTGTTAAGTTGACCCTTCCCAGCCTTTGTCGGAACTTCGAAGGATCCATGATCCATTGGCCTTTTTTTAAACTCCATGAAGACATGGAGATTCTTTCGTTGAAGATGTCTAAAGTACCAGAGTGCCTTTGGGATGGCTCCACGACCAGTTGGACCTGGTCTGGGTGATCCGCTATCCCCAGGTGCTTGATCCATCCTTTAAAAGGACAGCTGCAGATTGGATTTGTCTCAAGGAAACCACTTGATCATAAACATATATATATATAATATTATTATGATATAACATATCTTAATGATATACGCAGGCAATATTATATACATCGACAGACAGAGTCATCCACTATCATTGGGCCAGGGTGGTCTCCCATCTTCTGACACATCCATTGATGGTGGGTATGCATCGATGACGCGAATCCGGACGCGAGTCCGTTCCTGACGGGCGCAGAGTGGTTCCACCATCCACCTGGCCCGCATCAGCCGAGGATTTCACAAGGGGCCATGTTGTTTTGTTGATGCGTTTGGAGAAACACATTGCTGGAACATGTCTTTATTGCAAGCTAGTTCTGTCGTACAGTCGTAGAGGATCTTCAACACTGACATCTAACCTTTTTGATATCAGCAGCTGTGTCAATCAACAGTAATCCTTCATCCTGAGCCATTTTGGCCATGCCCCGAACCATTTGCCAGCGGCTCATATCAATCAGCTGCCAAATGGCACTGCCGATGAACGTTGCCAAAGGATGCCAAAGGCATGAACTGGCATTGACGATCAAACATTTCTCAAGAAGAAATCGAGGCCCACGTTTAAACAAAAGGGGTCTTCAGTGTTTTGACCAGGTGGATCTCCGAAAGCCCAACATCACCCACCATCAACCACTCCACGCTCCTACGACATCAGTGGTCGTTCCAACGAACTGCGGTCCGACCTGGCGGTCCGATGGATCAAAAGTCCCTCCGGTGGTGGCCGGGCCGCACCGCCGCGACCACTTGCAGGAGGAGGTGTTTAAAAGGTGGCAGCCAAGGGAGGCGTCGAGCTTCGGTGGTGAGGGGATGCCAGTGATACCTGAAGTAGCAAACAGTAGCAAACATGTTGTGCATTCAATATCAAGAAGCACCCTTCCATTATTTGAGAGGCAACCTTCAAACCTTCTACACGCCAGTTGGATATCCAAATGCTTCACGAGTTCTTCCCATTCATGCCAACACATAAAAAGAATCTCCTTGAGCATCCAATTTATGTTGTGACTATATTATACTTTGTCACCTCCAAGAAATTCATGCTGCTAGCATGTTGGGGAAACCCTAGACGTGCAGATTCTTTTCATTCCAAAGATTCTGCAAATCGGAATTGTTCCTTCGCTTACGTCCATGAAGTTCTTTTGTAAGTAGTATTCTTACTTGTTTGTTCGGTTCTCCAATCTTTAGTGTACAATGATTGCAAATCTTTTGAGAAATCGCGGTCGCGGACCGGATCATATCATGTCAGTCAAGACTGCTGAAACTCAGGTCGCTCGGGATGGTCGGACGGGTTGTGAACCGTTGAGGGGTCGACCACGAAACTTTGTGACTGGTGACTGGAGTGAAGTTGCTGAGAGTTGTGCTGCTGGGGTATTGTAGAGGATCAATCGGGTCCACATTTGATCAAATGCCGTACTAACAACGGATGGATCCAACATGATACAATACAATTCATATGACCAATATAGATAAGGATCGAAGCAATTTGGTGTTGACTGCAGCAAGTTGCGCAAAACCGTCGTCTCCCCCGGGAGCGGGAGGCGACATGCCGCGGCGCTTCATCGATGTGGATTGGAACAAACAACATCTCAGCAACTTGGATCCTGGAGACCAGCGTCTCCGTGCGTTGGCTTTACCAGAATTTGGATCTACAAGACGTTTGTTGTTGTTTTTGTTTGTCGTGTTTTTCCTTGGCTTTTTTCTTTCTTTGCTATACCAGGGTATGGTGTTTGTTTGATGTTGTTTGTGAAAGACGTGTTCAGGCTATGGCTTTGGCATGTGTTCTCATCATACTTTGGCATGAATACAGATAAGATGTTGTCTATTTTTTGCATGTGTGTTTGTCGAACGAGTCTATACTTAGGATACGTACTAGTCTCAAGATACGTATATACTAGTCTTGGTACAAACCAATCGGTTTTGCTTTGGGGTGGTTGCATTCTCAGCTGCGAACTTTAGGTGAGTACCCAAAGATTATGGAACCATATATTATATATATATTATATCCATGTATCATGATATGGGAGCTCACCCAAGCTCGCAGCTGAGTTTTGCCGTGCTGTTCTTTGAATTCGATCAACACATCTATATATATATATATATCTTATATATAAATATTAGTTATACATGTATGCATCATGTTCACAGCAGAGCCGCTAGATGCCCTTACCATCGATTTTCTGAATAAGTATTGGATTGCGATGTTATCTTTGTATACAGTATGGTGACCCTCTAGTCGACAACTTGATAGACTATGCCACCTATCAAAGCAAAACTGCAAACTTGTCATGTTCGAAGGCATTCCATGTTAGTATTTCTCTACTTGATTACTGTAGAATTATATACTTGAGCGGATTGTGCACGCATAATATTGATATTAACCCCATCGCTGCCAAGGTGCGGTCGAGTGGGAGCAGCGGCACGAGCGACGCTTGCTCCAGCGGCTGAGCGATTATCACAGGACGACGGGCGATTACAATCCCCGTGTGGTAGTCATAAATACTCGGATTTGGTAGGAAAGCCGAAAGTCGATTCAAAACGGAACGGGTGCAACTGGGATATGTTTTTTTGTGCAAACAAATGTGCAAGCACACTGTAGTTTAGAGTTGTTTTGTGGGTGAAACATCACAAAAAAGCTAGGTGTTGAGCTAGTTTTGTTGCTTCAATTCAATGTTGTTTGTACAAAATATGATAACACACACTGTGTGTTTCAATGGTTTCTGGCTGAAACATCACGAAAACATGTTTTGAGTTATGTTTTCCTTCAATGTGTTTAGACCAGGCCTACAAAGGTTTAGAAGGAATACCAAAAAACAAAATACCGAACAACAACAAACCAACATACCAAAAACACACGATACTTTACATCAAAATGCAAAAACAAAATGAACATAAAAAAAATACAATGTTTGAGACAAAATCAAGGCACTACCAACAAAACAATCTTTACAAGTTTTATTTTGCTGTCCTTTTTGTTAAACATTGCCTTCTTAAGAGCATTAACATTCAAATACAGGAACGCACTACTAAAGAAGCTAATGAGCGAAAACAAGTTGCAACAGCATCAACTAACGTTTATCTTCTGGCGTCCTGTCTCAATAGATGTTTCTATTGCTCCATTAGGTTGTATTTGTTTTGCTTAAGTTGTTCTACATGTTCAAACGGGCCTTAGCATTGAGCACCAAAAAGGAAGGCTGTTAATCTTCACAAGGCCTTTTTCTTGGTCAAGTTGTTTTGTTTGGTTTAGCTCCTTCAAAGAAGGTAATGAGCTAGACTAGGCACAATAAGTTTTATTGATTTCTATGTCAAAGCAACAAGTCAAAAAGTGATATGTATTATATATATATGAATACTGTATATGTCTTTATGGTTGTCTTGTCATGGTTCACATTTTCTCTTAGACAAGATGCCATCCGAAGCCAAATTCATAGAGCAATTGAATCTGTGTTATTTGGATTGCTTATTGCCCATAGGACATCAAAGAAATAAACACACAGATGGAAGAATAAAATAAGCAATCATACCATATAAAAACTATTGGAACCCTTTGTGATCAAGGCGAAGTTGCTGAGAGGAGAGTGTTGAAGCTAAAGTCTGCATATTTTATATCAATCACTAAAGATGAGCACGCGATGGTGAGAGGCTACAGCCTTTCAAGATTCAAAGCCAAACAGCTTTGACTGATATTGAGAACACATGAATACAAATGACCAGGCAGTCATTGATATGGAACACAGAATAGTTAAACTGATAATGCTTATCATTGGTGTTACACATTGACATCGCACATAGAGATTGGGCATAGGAAGATAGACAAAATATGCGTTTCGCCTGGGTCTCAGAGCAGTTTTTGAAATGTTGCATGGTTTTGACAGTGTTTTTGATAGGTTGTGAGCTAGTGCGTGCTCTCCCGAGCACACCCGCTCTCCAGAACCGGTGCTCGGGTCGCCGACCTTCAGCTGAATAACTGGGGAGGGATTATGACCGGTTGCATCTTGTTTGTCTACAGGTTTCGATGTTTGCAGTCGTTTCCTGGCAGTTTAGACCTGGACATTGCAGGCGAGGTTTTCAGGGAGTGTTTTATGATGCTTTATGATTGTACAACACAGGTCCAAGTGGATGGGAGGGTTCATGCCGAGGGAACAAGTCTCGAAGCCGCAAGGAGTGTGGAACGTCGTCCCTGGGTTGCGCTGGGCAGCAAGGCTCTGTGATTTCAGAATGTTTCAAATCTCAAATGCATGATCTCAATAGCCAGCCTTTGACCAGTCTTTCACAGAAATAACTGGTAGGAACTGCTAGCAGAAACTGCTGGTGCATCAGTTCAACGGATTCAACAGAATGGAACAATTCAAACGTCTCATACTTCGCTGCGAGCTGCGTTCGGGGCGTCCCATGCGCATTGAGTTCTCGATTGTAATGGCTTAAAAAGGCCCGAGAGGATACTAACACTTGTGATCGTGAAAGAGTGAAAGCCGGTGGATTTTGGGGTCTGAAAGGCTTTTTGCTTGTGATTTGCAGTATGTAGTAGTTTCAAACCAAAGGACAAATCATGACACATCTATCAAATCGATTCGCCAATTGACTCAGCCGCCTGTGCCCATGTTATAGCGTCCTTGGGATTCGCTTCACTCAGGCAGATGCTGATTTGGCCACCAGGTTAAAGTTGGGAAGCCCAGATCGCACTCTTTGTGAAGACTGGTCCGTTTCAGCTGATTAGCTAGAGCCATGATGAAGCAGAACATTGTCGAGCATTTGGAATTGAAGATGAAGGTAGATTCAGAATGTGGGATTTTGTTTTTTGGCTAAAGAAATTTGATTTTTTGAGTTATGGTAAGTTTAAGCATCTGCGTTGGCATAATCATTGTTTTCGGAGGAGCTCTTTGAGTCAGGCTCTTTCCTAGCCAAAACACTGAGGGGCCTTGCCACACTGTTTTAGCACTTGGACATCCATGACACCGTCACTCAAAACTTTGACAGAGTTGAAGCCACGAGCAACTCGAACATGGCAAAGCAAAAACTCAATGTTGTTGTATTCGAAGAGAGTACCACTCTTTCATTCAATTCCGATGTTGTTTCAATCACGCGCCGCGTCGGACACGCTAATCTTGGACCTTCAGCAGCTTTGCCACGATCCACTCCAGGTCAGCCAGTAGTGCAGCAGCCTCAGCATGGGTTCCGTTTGGATTGGGGACACTGATCTGTGTATAGTGACTGCACATGGTGCGTTCAGTTCTATTGCTGTTTGCTGAGTTTTTGGGGTTTCAAGGTTCACAGGCAAGCCTTCAGGAAGTTTGTTTGACCCACTTGAGTCGGCCAAGAGTGGTTGGGCCCTGGAGACGGGCCTTCTTTTGACTGATTAAACATCTCCCCGAGCATCCCTGAGCTAGGCTTATGGTTCAGGATATATAGACCAACGGTGACTTTCCGCTGTAGTGCTTCGACAGAAGCTGTGGCTATTCTTTCATAGACCAACGGTGACTAGAACATCCAAGTGATCCATGGAGGTTGCGAGATTGAGTCAGGATTCTCCAGTTTCCCAGACAAACTTACCACTCTGACTGTACTCTCTCTCTCTATATACATAGAATGACCCAGAACTAACCCATCAAACAGACCAGGCCACCAAGCGGTAACTTCCTCCAAACTGATATGATAATGCTAGTTCTTACCACTATCACTGGCGCAACTGGTCAAGCGATGCCATATATATATATAACATCCGACTCTGACTCTTAAAACAAAGATCATTTGCGTCGTACTTGTTCCTTGGACTCGGCCTGAAGGGCTTGAAAGACCTGAAGCCCGACCATGGGTTCCGTCGGGAGCGTTTTATCATTGGATCCTCCGCTAAATCCACGGACAATTCCAAGCATGCCAAGGGCAATTCGGCGATCCCGGTGGGTTTCGTTTATTCGCTTCTTGCAGGTCGAAAAACCGACCTTTCTTCTACATGCGTTTGTTTGAGCATTCTTTTTTGAGGAAGATGGTCCAACCCCCCAGGGGTCTGCAAAACCCACCACAGGATCCCAAAAAGCCCTGGAGAAGGTCGTCCCATCCACAGCTTCCCGGTAAATTTGTGAAAATGCAAGGCTGTTGATGGTGAACACCTTTTTCCTTTCGAGAGTACTGGATCGGTCGAGAGTACTGGTTCAGTGAGACATGCAGATGGTGACAACATGTCAAAACAACCAACTCCCTAATGCTACTAGGAACAAGAAGCTACTAGGGGCTCCTGGCCGTACTATTATTTGAGCAAGGATGCTACCGAAACAAGTAATCAATGCCATACCCACAGACCCATGCTTCAGGCAGCTGCGGCGCCGAGCAGATCCAAGAGCCAGGGAGCCCAGCGTGGAACAGGAGTCCAGCCGGAAGCAAAGCATCCATTCTGGAGGACCAACGGGTAATGTAAGGCTTTGTTTGGTTTTGTTTCATTGGCCTCAAGCCCGAAACAACCGTTTGGTGAAGCTTGCACAAGCTCCAAAGACCACTATTTGTTTTGTAATTCTCAATGGCCAAGGGATGGTGGACGGGCCGCACATGGGAATACGGGAGTACACATACTTATTCCATCGCAAGGCAACCTCCTTGCAAGCATTGATGCATTCGGAGCCATGTTTTCTTCCTGACATTTTGCTCCACGCCTGTACATGCGTGCGGAGTTTTAAGCACTTATACATGTTCCAGCAATACTGTTTCCCATAAATACGACTTGAACATCAGTTGTGCGTTTGATGTGTAGAATCCTGCACCCCAGTGGATTCTTTGCCAAATGTGTGTGCATGTGTGTGCACTGGTTACCAGAGCCTGTGTTTGTCCATCGCTATATGTCAGTGGGTGAATGACGCTATATGTCAGCGCTGACCGTTCCGACTTGGAGCTAAGTAAACGTATGTTTGATGTGAATTGACTGTACCTTTGATCAGGCCACCGTCCTTGCCAATTCGGAGGTGATGTAAACCCTTGAGACTGGCGATTCTTCGTAGGACAAGCATGCTATCAAACTCCCTGATCCAGCCTTCGGAGCCTTTCCGAGGCGAAGCTGACGTGGGAGGCACCGGGTGACGCGACCAGAGACCCGCGTTTGATGCGACCAGAGACCCGCGGCTGTTCTGCGGGTGGAAGACGAAAACGCGCTGTGCCGAACGCAAGGCATGCCAGGGGACAGGTCTATGGTCGGAGTGTACATGTTTCAACCAAACAAGGACACCAAACATTGCGATGATGTAAGGATGTGTTGCCCTGCCTGCAGAGATATATATGTGCCATCAATTCGCAGAACAGCGAGTTTGAAGCGGACGCAAGTGAAGTGTGGATGGAAAACTAGGGAACGGGAGGGGTATAAGGTATATTTGTTGCGTGGACTTATTCGGAACAGGGCTGTCAGTGAAAGACGGAACGCGACATTTGGAAGTTCAAGTGGCTAACCCCTTGCAACGGGTCGGACAGCATCATTGATGATGCTGAAGAGTTTCTGCGGCATGTGGTTGGCAGCAAGAATGGTTGAGATAGCCTCAGAGCTCCTTTTGACCAGAATCCATCCCTTGAGGCATTGGCACGAGGTCTTTTGGGTGCTGAGTGTTGGAAGCTTCAGCAGAAGAGAAGAGTCCGTCAGTCTGTCAGTTGAACAACTGCACGGATCCTTTGGATCGAAAGGATCGACGTCGCCCCGCTGTGGAAGACGGTGAAGGGAGATCCACCGGTGCCCCATCAGCTGGTTGGCGAAAATGAGGTCTTATGATGAGATTGAGAGAGACAAACTCTTCTACCGCGTAAAGCACGATAGAGCTTTGTGTTTGTTCCTAGAGACGGAGACACTCAGTCTCACTGATCAAATCAAAGACATTCAAAGACCACTTTTTGCCTATGATAAACTTCTACCGCCACGCGATGTCGCCACGCGATGTCGCACTCCGTCCGTCCTTGCGGCCTGTCGCAATCCAGACCTCGACTCGCGCTAGGGCCCAAGACTCCGTCCACCTCGTTGTTTGGGATGCCCAGAGGGCGCAGCCGGGGGCTGCGCGGAGGGGAAAAAACCATGAACCCTCGCCCGCCTCGCCCCGCGCGATGATTTGGACTGGTTGGGGGTTTTGGAGTGGGCAACCGGGGTTATAGTTATATAGGGGTTTAAAATGGTTTAAAGATTCAAATGGACTTGTTGGTTGATTTAGGATGGTCGAGATTTGCCTTTTGTCCATGCACATTGCCTGCACGGGGTTCAGCTCCCAGCTCGAACAACGCCTTCACCACTTCAAAGCACCACATAAAACACCATAAAACACCAATCCCCATAGTTACCCAGTAAAGAACCACTCAGTCGCTTCTGGAGAAGCTGAGAAACTGAAACCTCCACCCCGATGGTCATTCATTCTTTGGAAGGTCGGACCAACCTCCTGGTCCACAACCTCCAAATCCGTCCGCAATACACGAAACCTGAATCCTGAAATCACAATGGAAATATAATATGGAAATCATGAAATGGCATGGGCAAAACAGGAAATCATGACATCTGAAGACCAAAACAGGTGGTTTTCACTCCACTTCCATCATTTGGGACTGTACCAAGGTCCACCCTGTGGCGCCGTGCCTTACAGCCGGAGAGTCGCACGAGTCCGTCGCCCTCGCGCCTCAGCTCCGGCGCCTCCGAGCGTCCGCAGCCCCGGCCGCGCTGCGGGGAGAGCCAAACATCGAGCAGAAAGCAATCATAAGTTACCATAAGCAAGTCATTTTGTAGCTAGAAGCTACTAGGTTGGAGGCCATCGCTATTAGGGTGGAGGCCATTACTAGGAACAAGAAGCTGCTAGTAACAAGGCACCTTACTACTAGTAACAAGAAGCTATTAGGAACAAGAAGCTACCAGGGGCTCCTGGCCTTACTACTAGGAGCAAGGACGCTATTATTAGGGGCTCCCGGCATCCCTACTAGGAGCATTCTCATGCATTCTTACTACTAGTAACAAAACAGCCGCGAACTCCCCAGCCTCACCAGAAGCCGTATCGCTCGCGGGCAGGCGCCCTGCAGCGGCTCCAAGCCAGCGAGGCATGGGGAAGGGCAGTCTGGTTGGGAAAGCACTGGAAGTACTTCAACATCGAGGGATTTCGCAAGACTACTGACCCAGACAGATTCCCGATTTCCATTTTTGCTTTTCATCATTCATTTGAGACGGGTGGGTCGTTCTGGACCATTGCAAAGGGTGCCCCTGAGCCTGGCCTACTCGGCTCTCGGACAAGCATGGCGAGGCTTGGCAGAAGGCGTGTGCCAAGCTGGACCAGGATGAGCTCATCGAGTTGGTGGGGTGTGGGCCCTTGTCACGAAAGGTAGCTTGAGCTACCTGAGTTCTCCTTGCTTTAGCAAAAATGTATTACAATCAGGAGTTGGGATTGTGCATTGAATTTGGTCCTGTAAGAGTTGATTCTGTTCGTCGGGGGGGATCAAATCCCCCCTGCGCCGGTTCACGCCGTCGTGGACTTCTACCAGGGTTACTTGTGATTGCCTGCTACCTTTCGTTCACCCCCTCCTCTCTCAAGTCAATTTGTTGGGGAGATTGAGCACAATGAGCACAACTAAAACCTCAGTGATTGCAAAACTGTGCTTGAGAAGGGGAGAGCCCGCGAGAATGGCCATCTAGAAGTAGTTTCTTGTCCTCTACTAGTAGCCATCTGTAGCCCATGGATGGACGGCATTGAGGATTGCATTGCCAGTCTTCATGAAAGCTTATAGTTCACCTGCGAGCCTGCAATTGAAATCTATACCCACACACTCCATGTATGGAATATATGCATGCATAATCATCCTGGAGTAGATAGAATGGACGGATTTTCAAAAACAATTCACTCCTCAAAACCCTACGAAAGTAGATTCTATCTACTCCAGGATGATTATACTATATATATATATATAGAGATTGAGCCTTGAAACCACCCAATATAGGTAAATATGCAATACATGGAGTGTTTGGGAGTCCCCTTGGCAACTTCCTCTATAAAATCATGGGGGCTGGGCATTGTGGTCTTTTTTGTGCTACTCCATTTTGGGCTACTTGGTCTATGATTTGATTTTATAGTTATATTTATGGCTATCAATGTCAGCGGTTGCAGTTTTATAGAGAGCACACCCTTCTGCGAGGTTGTATGCTGCAGCGTTTGCACTATAAAATGGCAATGCCCGACGTATTGCTTAATCTAGAATGGGATGTTCAATGAAACCACCGCGCTTGATTTGAGAAGTTTCCGGCACCAGATTTGACACATGCAGTCCCACATGCACCCCATGCTCTGGCATCACCCACCCCTTAAGAAGCATATGTTGGGGGGATTACATGCACATCATTATGCTTTGTTCATGGGATTTTGCGGGTGACATACGTGCAGGAATATGCGGGATCATTCAGGGCTACAGAACAAAACAATGTTGGTTTGATCCAAGAACAATAACGAATATGTCGGACCATGTACATCAACCTCTAAATTGGCACCGGAGCATGCACAAGCAGTCCTTCACTAGTTGTTGGAGGTTCAGGTCCTCCAAGGAACAGCGTGACAGCAGTGCCAGACCATGTCCAGTCCACCGCATTTGTTTTTTTGCTTTGCTCTAGTGTTGACGCATCATTCCTTTTTGGTGCAGTCTTTGGTTGAGCTTTTGGCTGTGCCCCCTTCACCTTCTTTGGTGGGGGCTTGTGGCTGGAGGATTCTTCTGATGAGCTTGAACTGCTGCTATAGCTTCCCCAGTCCACTGAAGAAGCAGTGGTGGGATTGGAAGGCGTGCCTTTTGTCAAGAGCTTTGCCTCTTCCTTCTGCTGTTGTTTCTCTGAAGGCCTAGGGACGTGCAAAGTGTGACTATAGGCTGAAGCAACTTTTGCGCCAGGAAGCGGCGCAACCCCAGATTTCTGGCGCCCATGCTACCCCTACGGTGGCACCATGTTTGCTCCCCCGTAAAAGAGAAGTAGGATTTTTCTGAGCCCTGTGATCGTGAAGCACGACGTCCTCCGTTGGCCATTTCAAGAAAAACAGACCGAAGGTAGCCATGTCCAAATCACCACTCAGGAAGGACTACCAAAGAAAAAATAACACGGCAAACAATCAAACGGAGTTCAAACGTACATTGTGTTCGTATCCTTTTCTGGATTGACATTTTGCGTGCCTGAAAATTTAGCAATGGACTGCCTGCATCGGCTACTGTTGATGACCGGCGTGCGAGCATCATCTCCGAGTGGTTTGATCATACACCAGGAGCACTTGTACTGGTTTCTCCCGCTTGCGGTGCAGGTGGAGAGGACCTTGTGGTTTCTCTGCGCTCAATGGTGCAATAGGGAACCCTTCAATTTGCTTTGGGCGTATTTGTAAGATATTGAAAGTAAAGGTTGCCAACATGTTTTTTCTTGCATCCTTGGTTTTTGTTGGCTTAATATTCAAGACAAAAAAGGACAGCACGACTTGGAACGAGAACAGTGACAATATAAGGTGAGTTTTTTGGTCGGCCGAGTAAAGGGAGACCTGCGCAATTTCCTCCAGTGTGCTAGATGAAGTTGTGATTGTTGCGTGACGCTGTGACACATCATACTTGAACATGAAGAATTAAAGACACGACTTTGGCTTCTACAAATTTGACAGCAAAGCCGAAAGAAAGTTCGTCCGGTGTTCTCACAAAGTTCACTGGGGAAATTCCTCAGTTCATGGTTTCATGATTGGTAAATTGGAGTTGGTGTCCACCATGGTCTTACACATCAAGAATGTTTAGTAGATGTGTGCTGTTGTTGCTTCAATGTTCAACAATTTGGGAAAACAACACTCAACAATCCTATATTTATTTTCAATTTAATAGCTAAACGCTACATTGCAATAAAGAGTTGCAGGACACCAGTATTGCAAGAGGACGACCGCATGGCTGCATTGAGACGCAAAGCGACCTGGTTTCTACAGCGCGCCGAGCTTCATGGTGGGGATGCGGGTGTGTCGAGTGAGAATGATGAGGCTGATGTCGACGAGACTGAGACTGGTTGTGACAACCCTGAGGGAGTTGCAAACCAGTTTTTGGATGTGAGCATCATTCCGGTCTTCTTAGAGAAGGTCTGTGGCCTTACAATAGACTTTGCCCTGTGGACGAGTTGTGTTGAAGATGTGAAGCACCACAAGCAAGGCGTGGCAGCACAACCACAGCCACAGCCACGTGCATTTGCTTCTGCTTTTTCAAGGGCTTCAACACCTTCACTCAGCAGGGCTATGAGTCAGAGCGATTCATTAAATGACAGTCGTATGACCAGCGAAGGCAGCCACAGCCAGTGTGGCAGTTCTGAACGAGAGCAGTCTTTCCAGAAGCAACTTTTGGAAGTTACAGCAAGGCTAGAAGAGTGCCAGCGCGATCCTTGGTTGTGGCTTCAGCCTAAGATTTTTTTGGTTTGACCGTCGACCGGTTTGACCTCACTTGAAGAAGTGAAAACAAACAATATAATCGTATCATTGAATCAACGTCACATCATCAAAGTTCAAACGCCACAGCAGTCAGGAATCTGGCTCTTTGTGTTTTTTTGTTTTTCTGTTCTTTTCTGGAATGAAGTTATCTCGTGGGAGGAACATGCAGTGCTAGTTGGAGCAAACAAGAAGAGCACCCGACGCTTGGAGCAGGCTCTTGCAGAGAACCGTTCACTCAAACAGAAGATCCGAAGGATGACTGGCCGCCTGCAGCCCAAGCCCTGTGCTGACCCAAATGAATGTGGTGATGACAGTGGTGACAAGGATCTTTTGGCCCTGGAGCGAGCGCGAGGTGGCAAAGGCAAGTACCTGACATTCTCCGGAGCGATGTCCCTGGCAATTCGACGGAACATGTCGAATTGCAGCCAAGAGGACATAGGCGCTGTTCTCCTTGAAGACATAAGCAGGTGGAGTGTCAGCAGGGCCGAGACGAGGTGTGGAACTGCACTCATTGCGAGTTCTCGATTGTGGTTTGCCTCATTGTACCAAGAGCTGACCTCTCCAATCTCCTCAACCGTTGAAAATTTCCGAGTATGCTTCTACTCTTTTTTGGAGGATGGCACAAACTCTGGCATTCTGAAAGGATCCAAACTTGGCGGCTTAATTCTCAGAGCTGCATATCTTCGCAGTCCGGAGAATCTTCCAAATGTCGATGGCGAAGTTGATTGGAATTCTTTTCAGATCTACGATTGGATGGAGACGATAGTCAGAGTTGCGGATGTTCTGCCAGTGCGATCCGGAACTTCAGAAGCAACATGTTCACAGACCTTGAAGCAACTGCGAGGCCTTGGATGTCCTACCTGGAAAGAACTTCAGAGCGACCCTGCGTTGAACTCTGAGTGTCTTGCTGGTATAATTGAACCTTTGGATCTTCCTCGTTTTTACAACCTTTTTCTCGATTACTTTCATGTAATGTGCATGTGCATAGTACAAATGTCCACTGTCTCAAACGTTCTCAGGTTATGAGGAGGCTAGTTTACCTTAGTCACTTTGGTGGTATCCCTTGCGGTGCGATAGTAAGATACTTAGTCCTTACTGATTAGTGAGCAACTGAATCTTTGGCAGGACAAACAAGACTATTCACTGGTTCCTTACAACCACTGATGCTGGACCCAACGAACTTGGGGCACGCAAAATTGCACACAAGGACATCCTGAACATGCCGAGAACTTTGTATACTCCAACCACATGCCTTGAGCATGCCCAGCATTTGATTGCCCTTTCTGCTCTCAAGGCTGCGGATAGGTGTCTTTCAGGATTTCGTACATGGCACTACTACGCAAGTTTGGCCACCACGTGCAATGTTTGCCGAGATGTGTCCAAGGAATTGTTCAGCGCATGGTGTGCAGAGCATGGCCTCGAGTCAGCCAAGCAGCACGCGAAGACATTGTTTCCGAAAGCCTGCTCTTCCCGTTGGTCAGGATGTGACAAACCTGAATCTAGATTCCTGCAGTGCGGAGAGTCCAGGCTGAAACCGATCCTACTTGGTGTGCTGGAAAAGCGCAAAGATCAGAAAAGCCAGTCACGGCCAGTCATTGATGAAATTGCAATCGAGGAGTCAAAAGCATACTCTGAGAAGCTGGGCCGTTGGAGAAAGAGAACTGCTCTTTCCATCTCTGATCCACTTTGGTGGAAGTGTGTTCAGATAGTTCATTTGTGCCGGTCGCCTTTGACACACTTGACCAACTTCCTCAAGAAAAGGGCAGATGAATGGAGTCACATACCTCAGCTATGCACAGGCAAGGCTGCTATTATCAGGGACGAGTTCACAAAAGTTTGGCTACAGCTGGTGGAGACTGGTTGCCTAGACGGTGAGGAAAACGATAAG